CCCAGTGAAAGCACAGATGCCCCCAGCGAAAGCACAGATGCCCCCAGCGAAAGCACGGATGCCCCCAGCGAAAGCACGGATGCCCCCAGCGAAAGCACAGATGCTCCCAGCGAAAGCACAGATGCTCCCAGCGAAAGTACAGATGCCCCCGCCACAACCTCTGCTGATCCCACTTCCACTGCTGCCAGCTCAACTGGTGCTTCATCTACCACAAAGGCCACCACCACAGCTAGGACTAGACACACCACCCATCGATTGTGTAAGGTCACCCCATAAATACTTTCTTCATGGATCTCCTGGATTCCCTGTGTCCACTATTCTCAGCATAGACTATATCTGGGGGGCAGAAAAAGTCATGAGAAAAGTCCTGTTCTCTTTTCCATATTTTCTAAATCCTTGTGGTTTTACAAATCAAGCCAAGAGACAACATCAGAAAAATCAAAAATTTTGAGTCTCTCATTTACCAATTATATCTGCATGGCTCTTGAAATTCTGGAATTTAATAGGTAAAATTCATCATTAGTAAAATTGACAATGGAGAGACCAAAGTATGTCCCTCCATGTGGCCAAGTACCTGGCTAAGTCTGTTTTGTTTTGCTAGAAAATTCTTATTTCCTTTAAAGATATTTCTAAAAATAGAAAATATCTTTACAAAGATGCTTCCTTGAGGCAGAATGTTTTAAGTGTTATTCTGGGTATTTCTGGGAATTTGGAATTCCACTGTGGTTCATGGTACAGTCCTCTTGCTCCTGGTTCATTTCTCCCTGATCTTAACAGTCTGGTAAAATCAGTGACTACTATGATTGATTCTGAATATATGACAGGCAACGTGGTATCAAATTCACATATATTACGTAGGGTTGGCCTAAAAGTTCGTTCAGGTTTTTCCATAAGATATGGTCAACCAAATAGTTTAAATCTCATAGTAACTCTATGAAATAAATATTTTAAAGATGAAGAAATAAAAATTTGCAACAGAAACTTCCCCCTGAATATTGTGCAGTAAGAGATGAGACGGATTGGTACATAAACAATGAACGTCCTGAGGAATCTTAGAAATATTTATACTCTTTCAGTGCATGGCTCCTGGCTCAAAGTTCTGTACTGGGTAGTCAATGGGTGAGAAAATGAATATTTGTCTTTTAACAAGAGAAGCCTGGACTGCTGTGTGCTGTAGCACATAGAAAACTAATTCATACTGGTCATCTCTCTGTTTTTTTCTAAACTTCCCACTGATCTAGGCTTCCATCCCAGGCTCCACGTCCAATTGCCTCTGGACAGGCATTAGGTGTTTATCTTGCAGGAATGTAAATCTGTCTTTGACCATGAATTCAGTGCCAATTGACATTTGTTAGTCTTCTTGCAGATTCCAAGGTATAAAGCCACATTTTCAACCTTTTTTGAAAACCTCTTATCTTTTTTCTGTTTCAGGTTTATTTCCACGGATTAACATATTTTGCTGAGTTATCAGTGAGATGGAATTAGCCTCGGCCTTCTGCATTTGATCCTGCTAGGCTGGGCCAATATAGCCCTTGATTTCTTTTAATGCAACGATTCCATCCCTACTCTATCTATCCTATCTCTAATCAGTGTATCTTCTTTAAAATAAAGAAATAATGAGCAACATGAAAAAAAGGATTTTCTGTAGGTGCTGGTGTGGTGATTGTCCAAAAGTTTAGTCTATCCAAGTGACAGAGTTTGAATCCTACCTAGTGCTTTCTTGGATTAATGTTAATAAATAGACTTTCTACATGTTTATCCAATTTTTAAAAAACAGGACACGATCCTTTGGTATATCATTAAAGACTAGAGTTTTCTGTATGTGAGTACACTAATCAACATTTCCTGGGTACAAATGTTCACTCTGATTCCTTCAAACTCTATTAACTGACCCCTAATTATTCTCATATCCTCAGTGGCTTAGCAGGTGAGAAAGAGGGAAGCACTCCTAAGGTCTGGGAACTAGCCTGACACACTTGCGCTTTGGAATTGTTAGGGTCTGACCTGATCTCAGAGCTTAGAAATGGTGCTTTCTTATTGCACACAAACATTATCACAAAACACCAACATCAGAGAAAGGCACACAGTGACTTCCATAATTTTGACCAACTCATAATTTTGTTTCAGTACAAACAAAAACAAGATCAGTGTACAAACCATAAAATACTATCAGTAAATATCACCCTCTCCCAGGTAATGAGTTCATTACACATTACAACTTTAGCCCCACTCTAGTCTCTTCTCCTCTCTATAAGGTTTGTTAAGACACTCAGTAATAGCATTATTTGTCCTCCCTTAGAGTCACTAATCAGAGCAGAGCCTGCTTCCTTAAACCCTCCCCCAAGTCACCTCACATATACTCAAATCCTGTAACAAGTCCTTTCTTACATCCTTGGATTAAGGCACCTGTCTGTAATTCCCCATGGTTTATGTTCTCCTCACTGCTATGAGTACTAAACCCAACCCAATTTAACTATAGCTGTATTCCTGGTAGTTTGGGGCTGAAAGACTTTGATACCTGAATGTATAATTGGGATGGACGTGGTATGAGAACAAGACGTGGTATCTTTGTCTTTCTCCCTTTGGATATTTGCTGGGTTAAAATTTGCCCAATTCTGGGAGGTTTGGTTAATTGGAGCCTTTACAACTGCCTGAACCATCGCCATCAGTAAACTAAGCAATGCAAATTCAAGGAGAACAACATTAATGGTCTCATTAAGGAAATGACTGAGGATGAAATTCGATGCTGACTAAATTTTCTAAAAAATAATTATCTGATTCCACTTAATAACAGATGAAAATGAAAGTGTCAGACACTGACTCATGTCCGACTCTTTGCGATCCATAGACTGTAGCTCACCGGGCTCCTCTGGTCCATGGAATTCTTCAGGCAAGAATACCAGAGTGGGTTGTCATTTCCTTCTCCAGGGAATCCTCCCAGCTCAGGGATTGAACTGGGTCTCCTGCATTGCAGGCAGATTCTTCACCATCTGAGTCACCTGGGAAGCCCTATAATAACAGGTAGTGGAGATTATTAAATGTCAGACAAGGTGAGTCTGCTGATTATTTCAGCTACCTGACACTGAAATAGGCTGGGACCTGGGACTCTTGCTGGAGTACTTGCACCTGGACAAATGTCTCCTGGGTCAATAGGATCCAAAGAAACTATAAGGGATACACGTGTAGTTGGGGAAATTCTGAACAATAACTATAATGCAACCACAAACCAAACACCACTTCTGAGGTACCTGGAGCAAAAGCAGGGTACTGTGCATGATCCCTGTACACAGCACCACCAAGGGGTGGCGAGACCATCTCAACTCTGTCTCCTGACCAACACGTGGACCTGCCTCATTAATCTTTTTTTTTTTTTTTTCATTACTCCTTTAGTGACCCAAGCCGTTCCTCTGGAGGAGTGGGCAAGGGTATCTGTTACTTGCTTTTGCTCCCTTGTGCTACAGAATGAGACCCAATAAAGTGCAGCATGGAACTCTGTTCTGGCCACTTATGTATTTCCGTTGATTAAAGATCCAAGGGCCTGTGCTGGCAACAATATTATAAAGACAATTTAGGAAGAGCAACAGGCCAAGTGGGACTGGTGAACGCTTATCCACTTTTGTAACAACTTTCATAATAGTCCCTCAGTCCACACAGACACAATGTGAGTTTTCACAGATTGGAGTTTGTATACATTCACTATATTGCCCCAGGGATATTTGAGTCTTTTAGCTTATTGCCATAATCTAACTCAGACAAGATTTGGAATTAATAACCATTAAGGGCAAATTAGTAGTTATCATGTTAATTGCTTCCTTAGAGGAATAAACTCAAAAGAATTAAGACTTCTAATATTCATATGATAACTAAAGGGTAGTGGTTTTCAAGTAATATTCAAGGCCTAGTTCCATCTGTGGAAAATCTAGGAATTATGTGTTGGAGCAACCAGAGACACTGCCTGAAATACGTAACATGCTGTCATGTTTTTCAGATCATGCTAATAAGCAAGAAGACAGAGACCATAGGACTTTTCTGGTTTTGCCAAAAGCATGCTCCTAAACCTAGGAACCTGCCTCTTGTCACAAAGTCACCAGGTAGAAACTGGAATTTTAGTAGGACCCTAAGCAGAAATCCTTAATAAATTTACTGAGAATCAGCCCCAGGACTTCTCTATTAGCCTACAAGATCTGACTGTTCATATATCAATAGTAGACATTTCTGTAATATATGTGTGGGCTAACCCTTTGGCAAAAATCAAATAGGATTTCTTTGCAAAATTCTCTTGGGTTTTGGATTTGAAAACTACCTGATGCAGATTATTCTTTTAGACCATTTGAAAAATAGATGCTATCTTTTCAATGGTATTTGATAAATGTAGCCTCACTATTGAAAAGCATCAAGAGTATTCTGAGGTCATTAAATATCTATGGATTCCGGTCATGCCCTGGATGATTAGAGAGACAAACAGTCAAATACATGAGGGCCACTAAGAAATGTTCCCTCTTAGTGTGGAAGTTTATTTGTAAGGGTATTCTAAGAATGAAATTTCAGGGAGTGACCCACACATGCAGAAACATGTTCTATTGCTACTTGTTGGGTGGAAAATGAGGCTCTCAAAGAACTTTCCTGACATCACCCCAAGTGGTATGGCACATAAAATGACTGGATTACCAGTGGAAGTTCTTGAGCTAAGGATAGTGTTGCTGCTTGGAAGTCTCAAGAGGCTCTGCAGATACCAAACACTGATGAAAGAAAGCAAGAATAAATCTTTTCATTGTGTATTGCTCTAAGTTCTGTAGATAGGAATGGACAAAGTTTTAGGTTTCTGGCCTCTGCGAGGCATTTAAATATGACATACAATAAAAAGAAATGATGCAATGAAGAAAATGCATCCACTATTAACAGGAAAATATTGGATCGATAATGACTGTAAGTGAAATGATCTGACACTGACAAGTGGATCACATTGGACAGCTATTGTTAGCCCCACGGTTCTGTAAGTGTGTTTATGTACTGGGTTATGTACTGTGTTATGTACTGGGCACTCAGACTCCACCAAGATTTGCTTATCCTGTAAAGGTGTAACCTTAGAGTTACAATTAAAAGTGTGGAACAATCAATTCACCATTCGCTTGGTCCATTTCCTCTCAAGTTATGAACTGTACTATTACTACAAACTACTAATTAATATACAGAAGTGATTAGGGAAACATGATTTATTTTTATCAAAATTCAGTTTTTTACCTTTTTCTTTGTCTAAGAAATGTTAGTTCCCTAAGCGCACTTTTTGTGCACTTTTTGGTTTAATTCTAGATGTTTCATAATTGTAGTGTTCATGATTAAGTCTGAGTTTTGTGTATCACATGAGGTATGAATCATGTTTTTGTTATCATATAGGTAGTTCTGTGTTTTTTCAGCATAGTTTGTTGAAAGACTTTCCCTTTTTCTATTAAGTATTCTTAGAGTCGTCAAAAACCAATTAACCATAAATGTATGGAACTATTTTATACTTCTTTTTCTACCCTTCTGACTTATTTTTCTATCTATGTCAGTATCTCAATGACTTTATTAATGTAGATGTATAAGCTTGTATATCAGGCATGTGATTCCTACAACTTTTTTTTTCAAGATTATTTTTGTTCACTGGCACTTTTTAATTTGTCATATATATTTTGGAATCTAACGGTCAATTTTAACAGCAAGTCTTCTGACATATTGACTTGGATCGAATTGAAGATACAGACAAATGGATACTTAACATTATTTATTCAATGACATAAAAAGAATATATCTATATTTATTTAGGCTTATTTGATTTCTATCATTGAAGATTTTTAAGATTCACTATAGAAGTCTCACTTTGTGATCAATCAATCCATCAATAAATATATATTTTTATGCTTTTTAAATAATGTTTTTGGAATTTTAAAAATTCAACTGATCACTGGTAATATGTGGAAATATATTTGAATTTAATATACTGGCTGTCTATACTATGACTTTAATTTACTTATTGTTTCTAACAAATGTGTATGTATAGTTATACATGTGCACAACCTTGTCATCTTCATGTAAAGTTAGTTTCCCTCATTATATCTGAGCTTGTTATATTTCCTTTTTCCCTGCATATAGAAATGCTTAGGACCTCCATAAAGATATTAAATAGAAGTGATAAGAACAGAAATACTTAATAAATATTAATTTCTGGTTTTAGCAGAAAGATTTCAGTTCTCCACTATATAGATTTATATGATTGTTTTGTAGATACTTTTTGTCATAATGAAGAAATCTTAATTTAACCCTAGTTTAAAATGATGAAAAAGTAAAAACTACAACCAAGAATACTCTACCCAGCAAGGCTCTCATTCACATGTGATGGAGAGATCAAAAGTTTACAGATAAGCAAAAAATTAAAAGATTTCATAAGCCCAAGCAATCTGTTTAAAAAGTATTAAAGGGACTTCTTTAAGCAAAATTAAAACGTTAAAACTAGAAACATGAACATCGCAAAAGGAAAAAGTATTAGTCACTCAATCATGTCCTAGTCTTTGCAACCCCATGGACTACTGATGCAACCGCATCAGGCTACTCTGTCCATGGAATTCACCAAGCAAGAATACTGGAGTGGGTTGTCATTCCCT